AGGGACTTTGTTTGGGCATAAGTACATAAATAAATCCTATATAAAAATGAATATTTAATAAATACATAAAAATATAAATACTATGAATAATAGAAATAAATAATACAAATAATATAAATAAATCCCAGTTATTCTGCAGGATCTCTGGGCACAGGCAGCCTCTTGCAGACACGCACAGCCCTGCCACTGCTGCGCCGGCCTCGCTGAAGGCTTCCGAGCTCAAACGCTAATGCAAACAAATCATCCATCCCTCGGGCCGGGAGTAGCCTCCATCCTCCATGGCCATCACCGCCAGGCATCGCCTCTGCTCCGTAGGTCCGGGCAGACCGGGGAGGAGGTCACAGGCACACGGTCTCTGCAATATTAATTTGTCTTGGTATAAAGAGGTTAGAAAAGGGAATTCCTCCCTTTAGCATGGACTTCCCGCTAATGCAAACAAATCATCCATCCCTCGGGCCGGGAGTAGCCTCCATCCTCCATGGCCATCACCGCCAGGCATCGCCTCTGCTCCGTAGGTCCGGGCAGACCGGGGAGGAGGTCACAGGCACACGGTCTCTGCAATATTAATTTGTCTTGGTATAAAGAGGTTAGAAAAGGGAATTCCTCCCTTTAGCATGGACTTCCCCGACGACCTTGGGCTAGCTGCTTACTCTACCCCATGTTCCCTCACCTGTAAGTAACGCTCAGGGCGACAGAGCGAATTTAAAAACCATTACCAGTCAGCTTTTTGGTTTCACCAAGGAATCGTTTCCCAGCCTTGGAGCATCACATTACGCTGATTTGCGGCGGTGGCGGAGGACTGTAAGAAAATCTCCCCCCTGCTCTCTGCTGCTGGGGAGCCTTCACCCACGCACAAGCGCAGCAAAGGCCATGGAGGACAAGCCCCATGCGAGCCATCCTTGCTCCTGGCTGGCAAAAGGTCACTAGGCGACAATTTTGGCTGCTGCGGAGCAGCAAAATAAATTTGGCCCCAAAGGTTGCCCGTATAGGCTGTGGAGTCTCCATCCTTGGAGATGTTCGAAACCCACCCAGCAGGGACTCCTGAGAGCAGCAAGGTTCTTGATAGTAATAGGGGTCTCCATCCTGGAGATGTTCGAAACCCACCCAGCAGGGACTCCTGAGAGCAGCAAGGTTCTTGATAGTAATAGGGATTTGGAGAATTTGGCTTTTAAAAAGAACCCAAACAAGAAACAACACTTAAAAGATGCCTAATTTGAACAGAAAATGAGAACAATTAGCCACAACATCACTTATGCATTAATGAAGAGGCGCTTATGTTCCAGGGCTGAGTGTCGGAGCAAACACTTCTCTTGCAGTATGCTGCAAGGAAGAAAAACGTGGAAGTGGGAGACCAGATGAGGACCCTGGGGGAAGGAGAAGCCCTAAGGATGTCCTGAAAGATGAGGAGCAACACAGGGAGGGCTGAAGCCTCTTGGGTTCAACATCTGAGCTGACCCAACCCCTTTGCTTGGGGAGGAAACCCAGCACAGCCCCAACGGCGGCCGTATGAATTTGCTGGAGCAGACAGGAGGGATGGTACGTGGAGGGATGGGAGGGTGAGCAATCTGCATTTAAATAAGCAAGTAAATAAGCCTAATTATCTTTTGCACCAGTGGGAGAGCGCAACACAACAGCTCTCCAGCTCCTAGGACAGCTTTCTGCTTTAGTCCTACCATCACTGACGTGAGCCCAGACCTTGGAAGACCAGACAAAAAGCTGAGTCAAAAACCACGGCTGTCCGAAGCAGATTAAAGGACTGTGTCACTCCGGAAAACCCTTTCCCCGCACCCTCCAAAAATCCCTGGCCAGTTTCTCACGTCTCAGCCGACCACCACCGTCACGCCCGGATGCACCTGAGCCCACAGCATCCCCCGCATCCCCAGCAAGAGCCAGAGCCGACGCCGAACTACAGCAAAAAGTCAAAACCTCGCTGCTCGAACCGTTTCCCACCCGGGGACACGGGAAAGAAGACGATTGCCAGCTCTGCCGTGCCACACAGTCACCGGTGGGACAGGGGAGTCAAACCCCAGCTTCATTTTGGATCTGCGTGAATTTACTACCTGTTTGAACGGCAGGGTGTCACCTCTAAATCTCCCTAGGGAAGCAAATCAATCATTCTTGTAGCGGCGTGAACACCTCGGCATTCACATGTACGGGGAGAAGCAAAAAGGCTGCGATTACACTTTTGTCACAACAAACCCCACCAGCTTTGCTCTCTGCCACCTCCACCCCGGCCTCGGCGGGCTCTGCCAAAGAAAGCTCTGGAAAACACAGTCGCAGCAAACCCTCCTTGCAAATGTACGTGCAGGGCAGCCACCCCGTCACTTTTATTTTGCATTCCCAACACATCCAACCCTTTCACCCAGAGAGAAATAACAGCAGCATCTCGCGGCAAGGAGTTTCGCGCTCCGAATCCCAAACGGGGTCTCTTCCTGGGGTGAAATAAGGGCACCCCTTTCTAGCCCGGGGTGGAGGGATGACGGGGGGGACACACACAGAGGGATGTGCCACCCCCCCGCCGCGCTGCGTTAAACATGGCAGCATCCGAAGGCTGCCCCACCCAAGCGGCCTAGGACGCACGTCACCCGCATCCCGCCGCGTCCCCGGGACGCTTTGTCTCGGGGATGCTGCCGGCCTGGGATGCTGCGTGGGACCCTCCCGCGCGTGGGGTACCCCACTGGCGCGTGGGACCCCCGGGATGCGGTCGGGATGCTGGTCCTTCGGGTTCCTTGCACCGCGGGCGGGTTTCTGGGCTGCCAGGGATGCGCTTGGAAAGGACCGGCAGCGGCTTGCGCATCCCAGGAAAGCGACCCAAACCTCCCC